CTCTCTCTCTCTCTCTCTCTCTCTCTCTCTCTCTCTCTCTCTCTCTCTCATCTATCTATCTCTATCTCTGCTTTTCTCTGAATCTGCACCATTTTCAGCTAGCCCTTAGTTTCTGGATCTGCTAAATTCAGCTTACATGTGGTTTTGGATTGCCGTGGCCCAGCCTCTGTGTGACCTTAGAACCCCATGCCCAACAGCATCTAACTAGCTACGCTCTCTTCCTCTCCTCGCTTACATGTTTGAGGAGAGGCATCCAACTGGTTGTCACCTCTAGGGATACAAGGGAAGCACGAGTAGGATAAGACAGGTCTATGTTATTGGCAGTATCCGGTAGCAAGTCTCTGGAGAGACTAGTCCACCCTGATTGCCAGGTCCAAGGCTTGTTCTCTGCTCCTGGAGCCCAGCACCCACGTGCAGCGCCCCCCAGAGGCCAGACACGGCCATGCATGAGGAAGAAGTGGGATGAAGCAGCCTGTCCTACCCGCTGCTACTGCTGCTGTCCACCAGCCAAGTACCCTGCCCGTCAGTGGCTCCACCGCCCTTCCTGTTCTTGACACCCGTCTCTGCAGAGCATGGAGTGCCCCCCAGCTGCTACCGCATTTCACAAGATGTCCTCTTGACTGCTGATCTGTCTTTCAACTTAATTCTATATGCCTTTTCAGTGTTTAGGAATTCCTCAAAAGTGTTTTGCCCACGTAGAGCACTCAGTGCTGTTATTAATTTTTCTAAAATATATCTTCTGTCATTTTTAGATGCTAGGGATGGGGACAGGTGGAGAGACGGAAGTGTGTCATCAGTGTGCCACCTCAGTTCCTCTTGGGCCTTTCTTGTAGATGTTTTGTCATCTTTCTTAAACTATGAACCTCTTAAGAACAAAACTCACATCTAATTCCTCTTTCTTTCTCCCACCGTGCTTACCACAGCACTTTGCATACAGCAGGTTCTTAATGGTTATTGAACGAATTTCTTAAACTATGAACCTCTTAAGAACAAAACTCACATCTAATTCCTCTTTCTTTCTCCCACAGTGCTTACCACAGCACTTTGCATACAGCAGGTTCTTAATGGTTATTGAACGAACACATGAGTGAAAATGTGACCAGACAAATGAATATATGAACAAATGTCTAGATTAAGGAGTGAAAAAATAAATTGATAAATAAAATTAATAATTACGGAGTACCATAAGGTGTCTGAAAGCTGTTAAGTGTTCTATACACTCAGTCAAGAAATAACATTCCCCTTGAAATTGTTTTTGCGATTAATTTGCCCTCCCTGTAAGAGAATGAAATGCATTCCAGTCCCTTTGCTTTTTAACACAAAAATCTAAATGAGCAGAGCCCTAATTAATGAGGTTTTCTGGAAGCTTCATTTTTATCTGACTCGAGGAGCTGCAATATAGATTTTTCCTTCAGAAGTAATTCTTCCTCCCTTCTCTGTGGTTATATTAGCATTCTAGGGGAAACACTGGTTTCCTTAACATTTGTCATGATTTGCATAAGTAAAGGCTTCTACAGCAAATGAAAATAAGATGATGTGTTTGAATGACATTTATAAAGTCTCATAAAAGTAATGACTTCAGCTCTTTCCTATAAAATTGAAATTTTTTCCTTTGGCATCAGTTCTATGCAGGTACTACTGAAAGATTTTATTTAAATGCTGCAATGAGGCAGCAGAATCATTTCTTATCCAAAATGCAATATTTCCATCACAGGTACTTTTATAAAAGAAGTGAAATATAACACCTTTTATATTTGATTTGCATGGTCTAAAACCTGATTTTTTAAACAGATTTTATTTGGAGTATAATACATGCAACAAAAATAATTAACTTTAACACCTTTTAAAGGTCACATTTGAAGGTCGACTCTGTGTCAGACACTGTATGTTCATTATCACTGATCATCCCAACCACTTGGAAAGGACGGAGATATTACTGCCATTTTACATATAAGGAAACTGAGGCCCAGAAAGGGGGCATGTCTGGCCTCATGTAACATGAAGGAGGAGCTGGGTGAGAACCTAGGTCTGTATCCAAAGCCAGAGCTCTTTGTCACCCTGCACTGTCATCAGATGCAATTAAGTCTGAGGCACGGAGCTCTGAGAACATGGTGCCTCACTCTGGGAGAGAGATGTCAAAGCCAGCAGCAGTGAGAGCTGAACTTTTATTTTTTTGAAAAGCAAGATCATGCACTGGAACGAGTATTGGATTGGGGCTCGTGTGTCTAGATCCACATCCCAAATCCACTAGGCTGCAAGCTACGTGAGGATAGGCACCATGTTGGTCTTACAAACCCCTTTTTGCCCATGGTCCACAGCTGAGAGCCTCTGATATCAAAGAGCCTGATTGGTATTTTCAAAGGCATAGAGCCATGTGTTTTTATGTAAGTCATGTGTGCTTTGGCCTCAGTTTCTTCTCCTGCTCTTCCTCTGGTCCTCAATACACCTGCTAACCACCAATCCCATTTCTCTCTGGAAATAGTCTCATTTCTTTGACTCATTGTCTCCCTCTGACTTTAACATCAATTTTATTTTTTGTTTTGGTGGTTGACCAGCATGGGGATCCATACTCTTGACCTTGGTGTTATCAACACCATGCTCTAACCAAGAGAACTCATCAGCCAGCCTTCCCTCTGACTTTAAATCTCACCTAACTTCTACGAAGTTCATCCCATGACAAATCTAACTGTTCAGCTGTCCAATTGCTGCTGTAACAAATTAGTGGTTTAAACAATACAAAATATTTATTGCCTTTCAATTCTGGAGATCCAAAGTTCTGACCAAATGGATCTTACTGGGTAAAATCAAAGTGTTAGCACTACTGTGTTCCTTCTTGAAAGTCTAAGGGAGAATCCACTTCCTTGCCTTTTCTAGCTCCTAGAAGCCACCTGCATTCCTTGGCTCATGGCCCCTTCCTCTGTCCTCAAAGCCAGCAGCCTTATGTTCAGTCCTTCTCACACTACCGTCTCCCAGGTTCTCTTCCACCTCCATCTCCCCCCTTGAAGGACCCTTGTGATTACCTTGGATCCACTTGATGATTTGGGATAATCTTGCTATCTTAAGACCAGTTGATGAGCAACCTCAATTCCCCTTTGCTATGTAACTTAACATCTCCAAAGGTTCCGAGGAGTAGGACACAGACATCTCTGAGGGGCTGTTATTCTGCCTCCCACAATCTATAAACTGGATGTCCTAGATCATACCAGATTTGGAGGTAAAAATTAAGGCCCAACAATAGACACAAATTGGTGCTTTTCTGGGTCTTTCCCTAGGGCTCTTCAGGACCAGCCCCCACCCATCCTCTCAATGTCCTTCTCAGTCTGTAGTAGGGTCTCGCCCTTGCAAATAGGCTTGAGCTTAGCAGTGAGTATAACTTAGGCTCAAGCTGGATCTGTCTTTTTATTGGGGCTTTGGGGGAAGTTTTTTTGGTAACCTCATACACAGGGTTGCATTAATCATACACTTCAGTTGATGGCCCATAATCAACATTGGTCTAGGCAAGGCCCTTTTCTTATTGATGTATTCCCTTTTGTGACATCCATTCTGCTTTTTGTGTATCTTTTTGTCCTTACGTGTTCTTACATGATGTGTATTGCTGTTTTCAATGCGTTATTAATTTACACAAATAGCATTGTATTACATATCTCACTTTGTTTCTTACCTTTTTGCCCTGAACCCTGTTTTCATGATCCATCCATGCTGTTATGGCATTCCATCCCTTACTCCTGATGCTGCCTCTTCCTTCACAATGTACATTTCTTCACCGCACATTACCTGTCTACTTAGCCAAGGTGGACACCCAAGTCCTTCAATGACGCTGCAGGGAACAGTCTTACACATGACTGTGGGTGGGATGGAGGTGTGAGAATTTCTCTGGGTATTCGTATTAGTTCGGATTGTTATAACAAAATGCCACAGACTGGGTGCCTTAAACAACAGAAATTTATTTTCTCACAGTTCTGGATGCTGGAAGTCCAAGACCAAGCTGTTGGGAGGGTTTCTCCTGAGGCCTCTCCCCTGGGCTGGCAGATGGCCACCTTCTCACTGAGTCCTCACACAGTCTTTCCTCTGTACATGTGTGTCCAAATTTCCTTCTTAGAAAGGCAGGTTGGATTGGGCCCACTCTAATGGCTTTATTTCAACTTGATCACCTCTTTAAAGGCCCTATCTCCAAATACAGTTGCATTCTGAGGTACTAGGGATTAGACCTTCAACATGAGAATTTTGAGGGAGACAGAAGTGAGCCCACATAAAATATATACCATAAGTGAAATTGCTGGGTCATAGAGTATGTGGGTACTTAATTTGACCACAAGGACGTATACTTCCATATAGAATAGATGAGGATCCCTGTGTCTTAAGTCCCACCTATATTTAGCAAGATCTAGCTTTCTACTATTTTGCTAGCCCAATAGGTATAAAGTGGTATTTCCTTACTGTTTTAAATTTTATTTCATATACATATTAGTTTTCAGGATTTCTTCTGTAAATGGTCTATTGATATTCTTTGTCCATTTTTCTATTGCATTTTTCTTTTTCTAGGTGATTTGCAGGATGTCTTTGTACACTCTAGATAATGGTTTTAGACATTGCTAATATCTTCTCCCCTTCTGACATTTGTCTATTAACTTAGATCATGGTGTACTTCATGAAACAGCAGAAATCTTCAATTTTGATGTAATCAAAATCATCGTTTTTTTTAATATGGTTTGACCTTTTGAAGTTTTGTTTAAAAAGTCCTTCCTAGGCTTAGATCACAAAGATAATTGTCTATATATTCTTTTACTAAATTTATAGTTTCATCTTTCAAATTTAGGCCCTTAATCCCTCTAGACTTTACCTTTGTATATAGTACTGAGTAGAGATGTACTTTTTTTGCTATCTAGTAAGCAAATTTTTCCAATACCATCTACCAAGCAATGTCTCTTCTCCATTAGTCTACAATAAACATGCTGCTTTGATCTTATATTAAACCCCCACATATTTGGGGGTTCATTTCTGAGCTCTGTTATATCGTGTTGGTCTACGTTTCTGCTCCTAAGTCAATACCACACTGTTTCCATTGTTTTTTAACCTGAGCTTAGTGCTACGTCTTGATCAACTGCTCAGGTAGGTAAGTCTGTTACCTTTCTTTTTAAGATCTTTTTAGCTTATTATAGGAATTTATTTTTTCATATAAATTTTGGAATAAGTAAATTGAATTCTTGAAAAAAATCCAGATAGGATTTGATTGAGTCTCTAAATTAATTTGGAAAAAATGATATTTTTGTAATATGTCTGAACATTAATTCAAACCATATTCTTTGTGCTTTACTAGGGTTTTTAAGTTTTTCCTATAGAGGTATTATGTTTTCCTGGTTAAACGAGATGTTTAGAGATTTAATGTACATCATGAAAACTTTAGTTATAATATTGTATTGTATAGGAAATTTGCTAAGCTTTTAGGTGCTCTTATCACAAAAAAAAAAGGTGATAATGTGAGAGGATTGACACATTAATTTGCTTGACTGTAGTAATATTTTACTATGTAGATGTACATCAAAACATCATGTTGCATACCTTAAATATATACAATAAAAGTAAATAAATAAACTAGTTTATAAACTTTGTTGATATTATGAATGTTATTTTATATTTTATTATATTTTCTAATGGATTGCTAGTTTAGAATAAAGGCTATTGTTGTTTGTAGGTTAATCTTGGTTCAGTATTCTCAAAAACCTCTTATTATCTGAGAGTCTATCTGTTGATTCTGCTTATTTTTCCAGGCATATGATCCCATCATATAAATAACTATGGTTTAATCTCTTTCCTTATAATCCTTGAACCCCCATTTCTTTTTCTTTTTTATAGCTTTGGCCAGAGCCTTGATTCATACATAAAATGGCAGCAGTGGTAATAGATATCCTTGTCTTATTCCTGATATTTAAGTTTCTCCATTAAGTTATTATTTTTTATTTAGTTTTTGTAGTGTATAATTCTCATTAAATTAAGGAAATTTCCTTCTACTTCTAAATTTCTGAGAGCTCATGCATAAATAGGTTAACCTTATTAATTTTTTTGCATTATTTGAAACAATCATATGATTTTTCTCCTTTCAATGACTATCAATTAGGCAAATTACATTGATTGACTTTTCTGGGGCTAAACTCTACTTGCATTTATAGAATAAACCCTATGCCATCACGATGCATTACTTTTAATATACTTGGTTTCAGTTAGCTCATATTTTATTTTGTATTATTGCATCTATGATCATAAATGGACTGTACTTATGAGTATTTGCTTATATTGTTTTTATCTGGTCTGGGACCAATATTTCACTAGCTTAATAAATAAGAGTTTGGGGGCCGGCCCGCTGGCGCACTGGATGGTGCGCCGCTTGGGAAGCGCGGCGGCGCTCCCGCCCGAGGGTTCGGATCCCACATACAGACCGGTTCCCGCTCACTGGCTGAGCGAGGCGCGGGAGCAGCACCGAGGGCTGCGATCCCGTTGCCAGTCCCCAGTCCGGTACGGGGGCAACACCGAGGGTTGCGATCCGTTGCCGGACACAGAAAAAGACAAAAAGACAAAAAAAAAAAAAAATAAGAGTTTGGAAGCTTTTGCTCTTTCATTATCTAAAACAACTCTTTCTTAAAAGTTTGGTGGCATTTATTTGGGACACAATCTGAGCGTGGGGCGTTTGGGGCAGGGAACTATCATTTCAACTTCATCTCGGTTTCTTTAGTACTTCAAGTTCTGTTTTTCTGTTTCTTCTGTCCTGTGTTCTATCTGGTCCCCTCATTCATAAACACGCTTCAATCCTCACTGCCCTATTTGCATGTCACACACAGTCTTTATTTTTGAAGATCGTGACTAAACTTTAAATCAAAACCTCAAATCCTCTATTTTTTATGAATCAGTTCCTAGCCCTTCATAACACTGTTATTCATTGCCCCCGATAGCTCTGTGTGTTTATATTACATCTTTTATATTACCTTTATCAGGGTTATTTCTATGCATTATTTCCATTTTTACCCAGCAAGGGGTAATCTAATGTCATGTATATACTATCACCTTTACCTTGCACACAGCCCTGTTTTCTCTAAAACTGAAAATAAACTTTGTAAAAGTAGAGAGCATAATGCTAACATGTCTAATTTTTTTTGTCCTTTCACTTTGCATACAAATATAGAAGGTCAAATGCTTTGTACGCAGAGATGTGGTGCTTTGTATAAACCTTCCTCTCTGCCCCCACTCCCAATTCCCACCCCCACCCCATCTGAGCCATAAGCCCTCAGTCCAGGCACAGCCCATTGCCCCGTGGACCGTCTTTCATCCCTGGGTTTCAACCTCACTCCCTAAATGCCTCTTCAGTAAATGTGTGTTGGGAAGGAACGGGAATGCCAGACCAGAGAAGTGGAGAAAGGCAAGGCATGGACATCCACATCTAAGCTGAGTTGGTGGGATTTCTAGGAGGTCCTTCTTACCCCTCATGCCCAGTGAATCTGCCTTTTCTGGGGAGCAATGATCAAAACTAGTAGAGAGCATTCCTACATGCATCAAAGGGAATCATTTGGCAGATTTACAAATTATGGTTCTATTCACTTCCATCCACTTTTCTAAGAATCTTCTCTTTACCATAACCAGTGTTGGGACTACAATGATGAAAGACTGTCATTTCCCCCATTTCCCAGTCAAAGCGCTCCCAGTCTGGTAAGAAAGTCAAACACATTAGCTGAAACTTCCAACTGATAAAAGCTGTGACAGAAGCATGTAGCAAGGGCTGTGGGGACAAGGGACTACTCTATGGTGGAGCCCATCACAGTTGTCAGCACCCAGTCACATGAGCTGCCTTAAAGGGGGTAGGATGTGGTCCATGTAATCACAACCCCAGCACATATTACCTGTGGGACTTTGGGAAAGTTGCCTGGTCCTTCTGAGCCTCAGTTTCTTCCTCTATAAAGCACACCTACCTCGTGTGTTTGCCATGAGGAGTTAGTGAGATGATGTGGATGGTGTCTGGCTCGCAGCAGGGCCAGGCTCCTGGGAGCTGCTGTCCCTCTAGTGGTCTGTGCCATGGCTCTTTGCTTCTGATTACAGGTGGTAACACCGGACGGGCATGGGAAGAACCGAGCTAAGTGGGGCCTGCTGAAGAACATCCAGTCTGCCCTCCAGAAGCGCTTCTGAGCCCACAGAGCCAGCGGCGCCCTCAGTGATGCACCCCAAATCAGACATATATGCACACACACATGCACGTGTATTTTCTCACCACATTCTTCAACAAGGTTGTAGACGGATGTTCCCAGGACCACTGAGATTTCCAACAAGAATCTTCTAAGCACTAATAAAAAGAAATGGCTGACATCGTGGCTAGCTGTTTGTTCATTGTGAGAAAACTAAGATACAAAACAGTCATCGAGTCTATGTGTCTCTACCAGCCCAGTTCTAGCTTTAGGCTCAGAATTTGGTGGTGTTTTGTACACAGCAAACACCAGGCCTCTGGGTGATCAAAACAGCTCTGAATCTGCAGCCAGGACCCCGGAGTGTGCATTCTAATGCTGGCCTAACTAGCTTCGGGTGTTTGGGCAAGTCACTGATGGACAGGGAACTCATTACCTCACCACATAGTTTATTTCAATAGTAAGCAGCCAGCATTGTTAGAATGTTCTTCCTAACTATGAAGCCTGAATTTGCCTTCCTATGACTTTCACCCCATAGTCTGAGGTCTGCCTCTGGCCCATAGAGAGTGACAGCTCTCCCTCTTTCTTCACTCCCCGGGGGCCCAGAGCAAAGCAGGAGCAGGAGAACACCCGGTCGGAGGCCCCCCGATGCTCCTCTGAAGCAAGGCACGAGAGAATGACAGGGCTGTGCATCAGCTCCAACCTTGCCGAACTTGACCTGGCCCTTCACACAATATGAAGCCCCAGGTTTCTTGCCTCAAAAGTCTCCATCTGCCTGGAATGACCGTCTCCTGAACCCACCCCACCTCTGCCCAGAAAGCACCACCTGTCTTTCAAGACTCAGCTCAACCACTTTCTCCGGTGATTCTTTAAGTGAGGTTGACAACTCCCTCCTGCCCTGGGTCTCCATAAGCACAGGGCCTTCCTGTCCCTCATAAAGACACCCATTCCAGCCCTGTGAGACTTAGGAGCTCTCATTTGCCCCCAGCCTTAGGGCAGAGACGGCGCCTCATTCATCCTCTCTCCTCATGGCTGGCACGGTGAGGCACATGTTGCATGCTAGTACTGGGGAGGGTGGCACCACAGCTGGAAGGCAGGCACACAGAGTGACGCTCCTCAGGACATTCCCAGATGCCAGCTTGCACGATGAGTGTCCACACACAGCAGTGGGACTGGGCACAGAGAGGGCCAGGCAGTCGCTGGTCCCCACCTCCTCTAATCCCATCCTTTTCCTGAGCCGTGCCACTGGCGTACGACCTCTGCTCTACAACGCATTATTTTTCATCAGAGCCAGAAAAGGCCCATTCCCCAGGAGAGGTCCCTAGTCAGAACTTCTGATAATGTGAGAAAATGAAGCCAAGCAGGTTCCTGCCCTGCCCCCCAACAGTATTACAAGAAGGAATGCCCCAGGGACCTTCATTATGATCCTATTACTGTAAATGATGGCTTGAATCCACCATCGGATTTGGTATAACCAAATCGTTTCTGTAAAAGTCTTCAGAATCATCATTAGCACAGGAGCGAATTAAATGACATGCCAGTAGGGATTTTACTACTGATAAACTAAAATGAAATTTAACTAGAAAAATAGAACTGTATGAATATCACATCGCAACGATCACACCTACTCACGGTGTGGGCCAGGATTTAATAAGTCACAGCAGCCTGGTCTTGCCTCTCTAGAGAACATGTACATGCACGCTTGGTGACTGAGTTAGGCAGGTTCTCTGAGAAGCCACTTAGCCAGTGGCTGCGCCATTCTACCACATGCAAGATGGGTCCCTCAATGGCAGAGAAACCTCTGCACATCGTACAGTCCCTGAGGTTATGATTCACCGGAGGCTCCCTCCAGATCATCCTGAGGTGCAAACATAAGTATACACATATTAATACATACGTATGTATGCCATACATAACCAAGAGATTTGTAAATACGTATCTACAAACATAGATCACTATGCTGAGCCGTGATCTCTCTGTGTAGCTACATATTTCAACATCCCTAACAGCCTTTCGTTAGAGAAGAGTCAATGGCTTTGGGAAGAGATGACCAGTGGCAGTGTCTACGTGAGAACACTTCGGAGCTCATTAAGACAGTTGCTAGCTAAGTTAATGGTCGTTTTCTTTCCCCCTCCTTTTTTTCAATATCTATTCTAGATTTATTCTTTCATTTAGAAGATCGAAAATGAGGGCTGGGCACCGTACAAACCGTGGGGACACAGTGGCAAATTAAACAGACACGGTCCCTGCCCCGTGAACCTTACAGGCTAGTGAGTAAGACAGATAAAGTAAAGATACAAACACGTAGATGACAGGAAATGATAAGTGCCAGGAGGAAGGAGGCACAGGGCTGCGGGGACCAGCTCTAAAGAAGGGGTCAGCGGAGGGCTCCCTGGAGAGGTGAATTTAAAGCTGCTCCTTCAAGAATGGGAGGGGCCAGCCACGTACACACAGAGGAGGAAAAACATCCTGGACAGAGGGCAGCAGGTGCCAAGGCCCTGAGGCAGAAAAGGCGTGGCATGTTCAAGATGTGATCACAGCTAGGGTGCCTGGAGAATGGGGACAGGAGGAGAGCAGGGCGGGTGAGTGGCCTCAGCAGGCCGTGTGGGCCGTCTCAGGGTCAGTGCCTCGGGAGGCTGGGGAAGGACGTGATGCAGGGAACATCACCCCCCTGCTTACATTTTAGTGGCATTATTTTTGGTTCTGTGGAAAAACGCGTTGTGGGGTGCCAAGAGAAAAGGCAGGAGCAGTATTAGCAAAAGTACGGTTGCCCGGGCTGGGGGTGGACTCGAGGGGAGTCAACAGCCCCTTCTGACCGACGGGGCGTGTGGGAGTGAGTCAAGCGAGAAGGTAAGTGACTCCCGAGACTCTGGATGAAGCCCTGGCTGGATCCAGATGGGGAGGATGCACACGTTTCCGGGAAATATCAGAGTTCTGCCTTGGACATGCGAGATGTTTGAGGGACAGCAGTGTAGGATCGAATGGTGACAGGTGGGTATCGTATCAGTCCGATGAAGTCAGGAAAACAGAAACCTCACCAGAGAGAATCGAATATGGGGAACTGGTTACACAGATATCAGAGGTATGAGAACAGAAAAGGGACACTAGGAGAACACAGAGATAGTGACAGCCACTGTCAGAATGAAGGGAAGGGAGTGGGGTAATCAGAACCAGAGGCTTAAGAGGTGAGCCTCTGAGCTGGGACCCAGATCTTGAGGAGGGGTCGCTGGCTGGCTGGCGCTGGGGTCTCTGAGGGCCTCCCATGAGGCTGGTTCTGGGAGTGTGGGAAACAAGCTGGACACTGATAGGAACAGCTGTACTGCCACTGCCCAGGAAGGACCTTTGCTGCAGCGATGCTGTCCAGAATGGTGGCACTTTCCTTCTACCCCTTCCAGGCTGCCAGTCTTCCTGTGGTGTCCCCTAGTAGCAGATCCTAGCAGAGCCAGCTGGCAAATGAAAAAATGCCATCTGCAGAGCTCCAGTCCCAGCACCACAGGCTGAGTCCAGAAAGGTGAGCTAGCGGCTGAGAGGCAACAGCTTCACAATCAGCACAATTACACAAAACTAGAGCTCAAAGGATAGGCCTGGGCTGGGGATACAAACTCAGGAATCATCAGTGGACATGACTGTGATTTTCTTGAGCACTAGTAACATTGAGTGTCCTGAACTTGACTAGGCTCTTCAAGATAGAACACAAGGGCACAAAGGTCATTCCTGTCTTCAGGTTACTTTCTAGCCACAAGACAATGCCAAGGACAACTGGAAATCAATCAGGCACTTGAATGTGTGACTTTGCCTGTAGGGCAAATGCCACAAACACAGATGAGCATCAGAATCACCTAGGGAGCTTTTAAAAAAATGCAGATGCCCACATGCCACCCCAGGCCCCCCGATCAGATTCTGCAGGGCAGGAGCCTGGACATCTGTATTTTTTAAAGGCCCCTGAGTGATTCTGGTGAGCAGCCCTTTTCCAAATCAACAAGCATTTGGAATCACCAAATGGTGGCCCAGGTTGTTGAAGATGGTGCTGGCTGTAGCAGAAGCAGAGCTGGGTTTTGCAGACTTGGCAGGAACTGGATAAGATGAGGGCCAGAGGAAAGATGGCACGAGGAGAGAACAGCTTGCAGAAGAGCACAGAGGCCAGAATGAAGGGGACCAGGCACAGAGGTACTGGTGTGAGCTGCTAAACTCTCAAGGGTCACCATGAGCTGCTTCTCCCTCCTTTTGTTCTGAGAAGTAATGAGAAACATGGTTTAGGGGAAAATACCAGTATCATTTAAACCGTTGACGTCATTTCTACAGTTGCCCCACTCCAAAATGAATAAATAAATACCAAATTCCAGTCAATGTGTGTCTTATTGATAATGTAAGAAGTGCCTGAATTGAATCTGGGAGCCCTAGGAGAAAAGAAGAGGACACCCCAAAGACCAGGCAGGGAATATACACACAGGGAGCAGAAAGATGGCATGAGTCCCCAGGTGGTGGGAGCCCTGCTGCTCCCCACTTCTGTCCACGCCACGGCTTCCTGAGTAAAGCCAGCACCAGCATCCCACCCCACCTCCCCAGTGGGAACACACAGGACTCACACAAGCACAGACACGCACACACATCAAAATACACAGACACACACACACACGCACGCACACGCATGCACACATCTGCAGTTGCTGCCTCTGATCCAAGTGCTCCGCTCCGAGGTCAGCGAGAACTTCCCAAAACAATGGGGGATCTGCCTTGAGTCTTGCAGGACTGGAAGATCAAGGAGACACGTCCTGAGGGAACACTCTGACATCCGCCACAGGAGAGAGTGTAGGGAAAAGGGGAGGGCTGGCACAGAGGAAGGGCAGTGAGCATTTTCCTGTCACCCTGTCCATTTTGGTTTGAAACCAAGGCGTTTCTTTGCCAGCAAATGACCAGAAAAATCAGGCTGCATAAAGTTCTCAGAAAAGCTAATACATTCCAAGGCAAATAATTGACTGAATCCAGGAAAAGATGCAATTTGGAGAGAAGCCCATGAGGCGCATGTCACTGCAAAGCTGAACGGGGCCCAGAAGCTTGACTTGTGTGTACCAAGTTGTAAAAGCTACCAAAATAGAGTCCAAAACAGAATTCTTGAGATGTTGGGAATCTGGCCATGGCTCCATTTCCATCCCTTTAATTCCACCAGGAACTATAATTTCTA